TCCACACAAATCATGCAGACATAAAGGTTTCTTTGACTAGTTCCATTATAATGTTTAAGCAACCAAAGGTTTAAAAGTTGCTAGTAGAAAGATAGGACAGAAAGCAGAAAGGGGAAATTCCTCACTTTGATCTGTTTAGAAATCATGCCAACTGAACAGAGAAGACAGAAAAATGATAATGACTAGAAGAGTTGATGTCTTTACAATAAAAAAATTAAAAAAAATTTTACGGGTGCTTTTAAAGTACACAGGACTAAAGGTATTTAAAAGGAACAAAGAAAAAGCCAAAGATCATTGCCTTTTCTTCATTTCTTTGGAGTCGTGCTTTTCGTAGAGGAGAGCCTTCTGCCGCTCCTTTCATACCGGACAGCCTGTTGGAGGGTTAATCAGAGCTCCGTGCTCCCGTGTCACGCCACTACCACATCCCAGGCAGGGATCCCACACGACGGCCTCCTTAGGACCCCTAAGGACCCTATATGTGGTGCTTTTGAGTCTGAAAGGAACCATGGATACAGATTCATGCGCACACAGTCACAGCACCACATTAGGGTGGGGATTTTAGCTGGCAAGGCGCCACTGTCGGTGCATCAGTCACAAGAGGACATGGGTGAAGTCAGAGCCTGACAAATCCAGGGTATTATCAGGCCTTTGTCCAGCCTGCAGCTGTCACTTACCAGGCTAGTGGGGAGAGAACGAGGGGGACAGAAGGGAATTCATGACCTATCCCTCTAGCCACAGAGGAGCACTGAGGCATTCAGAAGTAAAACATATGGGAAGAAGAAGAAGAAAGAAATGAAGAAGAGATGAGGCGAGAGAAAACTGGAAGAACTTTTTTATGAACATGGAAATGAAAATGGAAAGTGATATACGCTTCAAATGCTTCCATTTGATTGCTGGCAAAAATCATAGCAGAAGGGCCGATATATGCTGATTTCCTTCTGAAGACGCTAAAAAAAATGTTTTATCTTTGTCCCTTTCCCCTTCAAAAATGACCAGCAGTAATGCAGATCTAATCTCTTTCTACCATCGTGGTAGGTCCCAAAGGCTGTCCATTTCCCCCCAAATGCCTCATCTTTCTGTCTTTGAAATAAATGAAAGTCCACAGGGCGGTGGAATAAAGATGAGCTAAGCCTTTGACTTGATGCAAGATTGCCAAAGGGCCCAAACTTAAGAAGTCTGCCCCCCCCTCATCTGCTGCACAGAGATACTGCGGCCAGTGAGAAACCAGATAATCTGATAGAATTTCAATCAACAGCGATCAGATAAGAAATAACAGAATGTATGATTTTAAAGTCGCACGGAAGCTCCGGCAGTTCAACCCTTTTCCGCTTTTAGTTGGAAATGAACATTTCTGTAGCAACAGCCTGAACTCCAGTCAAACTTCATCTCTGAAATCTTATTCCAAGGATTATAACACTCTGCTGCTCTCATTTGAATACCCCTGAACTTAGGTATGCTCATATGACCCGTATTACACTCTTGGTGATTGGATTACTCATTTATTGGCCGGTGGCGGTGTTTATGGGGCATGTAGAGACTCAGCGCAGCTTTGATCCACCAACAGAAGCAAATATGAGGGCTGCTGCATAGTTTACATCCTGGGCCTAAGCCTTGTGGTGTGCGAGGCATCTGCTAAATCCTCCCGGATCAAAGGATGACTATTACACAGACAGGCATCCACATACCCCCAAATGCAGCTTTAGAGTGTTCATGACCCCTGTCAACATGTCCATGTGAAAGCACAGGTGTGGATGGGTGTGGGGGTACACACAGACACATGCACACTACCGGTGCCTCAAAGTTTGCTGCTAAAGAGTGGCAAAGCTGTTTCTGTATAGGCTGATGTTTTGTAATGTGATTGGCTCATTGCTAGTTCTTCACAAGTTCGAGAAGCTCTAGGTTCTTTCTGAATTGTTGTTGTGATCCGACTTTGCAGGCCAGGAATTCGTAGGTTCACTACTCTTGATAAGTCCTCAGAAAAAAGCTTTTACTCAGTAAATTCAGCATCGGTGTGTCTTTCTGGATACAGGCGTCCGTAATAGTCGAGAGAGGGGGAAAAAAAAGACATGTTGGCTCTTTTGTCTCTTCCTCCATCTTTGTGTTGCCGACTGTGTCGCGCGGTGATGTTTGCATGCATCTGGGAGAGACACAGCCAACCCAGGAGGCCAAGTGCTGACATTTCAGCCCGCAAAGTCACAGATGAATTTGGAGCAAATCTCATTATACCGGACAGAATAAAGATGCTGCCTGTGAAAATGCTGTGGCATATGGACACTTTATCTCCCCCCATGTTTTTTAATAACTTTACACACACTATCTCGTTTCCCACTGATGCATATTTTAGCTGCAATCCTGCGCGGCGGTGATGCGGACAGCTCGCTTGCACCCCTGAGGACACTTATGCCACCTGTGACCTTTTCCCTTTTATGCACAAACACACTGCTTACAGCAAACTGATGAGCAGTGCTCATTCGTACCATATTCCGTTGGCCTGGTCTTTCCTTATGGCGCATGTTCTACAGGCCAATTACAGACATTGATGTATTTGGAGGTGCATTTATAAGTGGTGACCTGATGCAGCGGCAACAATCATGCTGACTAATTACCCACCAAGGTGCCTGAGCGATGTGGGGCTCTTAGCAAAGGCAACTGAATCCATCTTCTTTATGCATGCAGACAGGCCTGCTGCTGGCTGTTACACTGACAGGGGACAGTTTCGGCTGGCTGTTTGGGCTTGATTCGTGCTCTTCCCCGATTTTGAGCTCCGTTTATTAACATATGAATATATTTACAGACCCTGAAAGTACTCCCAAGAATCCCATCATGGTGAAAGACAAAAAAAGATAAGGCCCTCCAGATCTAATCTAGATATGGCAAATGCCTCCTTTGAACACCTACGACAAATTTACCCCTTGGTAAATCAAGCCGTCATTCCCGGCCCACACTCGATGCAATTTCCATTTGTTGTAGTGCTTTAAAAAAGTGTATTAAAGAACTGCTAGTTCTTTAAATTGCCGGAGACCTTGTCTTCGCTCATGTTTTCCTACTCCACACCCCACAGCATCGTCTACCACACAGTGGAGCAGATCTTCACTGTCACATTGATACTTTCGTGAGTGAGAGAAGGGCAGAGGGGCTTTTTATGCAGTGAGTGTACATGGACTCTAGTTGTCTTGTTTATAACCTGTGCTTTCTGGATCACCAGTTGGTTCCTCTCGCCCAGTGGTACATGTTCAAGATACTCATGGTAGCACTGACCCTCCGTGGAAGGTCACACAGAAAAAAAATTACGAGCCTTTTATTTGGAGTTTGCTCACTCTTCTCTTTGAGCGGCAATTAAGCTCATTTGGAGTTCACAGATCTATTACAGCGTTGTGAAACCTTTCTTTTTCTCAACAAGCAGGGATGATGAAGAACATAAACCCACAGTTGCAAATGTGTTTTTTTTTTTATTTACACTTTTGCTCAAAATATCTTCAATAAAATCTCTGCAAATGTAGTCAAACGATTGCACTGGTAATCACATGGAAGCACACAATTCTGAAGTTGAAGCCTCGATGCTTCTGTAGTTAAAGTAATGAAAACTTGTATGATAACAGGAAGAACATTTAGAGGAGTGCACATGTGCGGTTCTATTGACTAGAATTAAGTAATTTAATTTATTTAAAATTGCATTTGCTATTTAAGCAACCTCAAGTAAATAGAGAGGGAACATTGATTTTGTAATGAACAGTAATAAAGGGACTTCACCATTACTCCACACCCTAAAAGCATAAGCTACCTCACACCCCAGTGAGCCACTTAATTGCCCACATCCACATAAAAAGGCCTAATGTACGCTCCCTGCGCTCCCACACATATAAAGCTATAGGAATCAAATGGAGTATAACTAATACAATTGATTTTGATCGGGAAGTACGAATAACACGATAACTGTGTCTTGCCAAGTGCTACTAAGGGGCACGCTCCGAGAGCCGTGCATCCTTTATGAGCCGCTATTTATTGTGCTTTTAATGAAGCTTGATTGGCAGCATGTCCTAGTGCCCATTATCATCAGAAGGATGTGCTCATTCTAATCTGCAATTATCACCATAATTGTGCTCAGAATCCTCTGGGTCCAAATAAGCAATCACTTCCACTGCTGCTGTGCCACCTGTAAGTGCTGCTCAGGAGGACACCCTGACAGGCTGACAGGTCTTCATATCAAGGGTCCTTTTTTTTTGTCTTTGGCTTTTTGTCTCCCTCTGCTCTTTATTTCTTGCGCCATGCTTCCCTGCTTTAAGTTTCACTGGAAATTTTGTCTGGGGTTGACTTTGTTTCTTTTCCTTTTCTCACATGCTCTTGATTAACCTTTCCCTTTTTTCCCACACGGCGCCATCCCCACACTCGTCCTCCTTCCTTTATCTCCCTCTCCTTTCCTCGCCCCATCCATCCCACTCCTCTCGCATCCCCTCCCAGCTCAAATTCCTAACCTTTGGTCACTTTCATCCCCGCGGTATGCATAAATGCAGGCCTATTATCAAGCCGGTTGTCTCATCATAATTATGCATTTTGTCATGTGCTGCCTCTGTAGCTGGTGATAAAAGGAGAGCCTGATTAAGCTGAAGGAAAGCTATTGATTCCTATTGACAGGCTCCTCAAAGGCCTTTAATGAAGGAGATGTAAATGAGGGTTTTCCACAGCGTTTAATGACTGCGTACCATAAAAGGCCAACATTCTTCTGCAGTCTGAAAGAGACATGCATCACTGACAATGGTGCACGAGGGACACTTTCAGTTATAGTGATGTTCACAGGCAATAAAAGGATGAGAGTAAAAACACAAGAGTGTTGGAACACAAATCGCAACTGTTGGATTTAAAAATCCTCTGCACCATTTATGTGGAGAGGTAAATTGCTGAAACGCAGAATTACCTGTAACAGCATGCTAGCAAAACCAATGCGTACCAAAGCATTAATGAGTCTAAATATCTAATTTCCTTTCTTTTTTTTTCTTTCCTAGCAGTCAGATGGCGCCTAGTAACCATGACCGGATACAGAGACTAAGGAATGAGTTCCAGCAGGCCAAGCAGGAGGACGACGTAGAGGACCATCAGCACACCTACAGCTTCAACCAGTCCTGGGTGAGTATCGAGTAGGAGCTGTATTCCAGGAGAGTGTACATACCCAAAAGATTCTTCGGGATCAATCCAGAGTTACTAGCTGAATGGATTCTTAGGCCTACACATATTTTTTTATTGCTTACTAACACTTCTATTCTGTTAACTTGAATGTATTTATATAGCGTCAAATTAAGGCACTTTATATATAAGGTAAACTCCCTTTTAACAAGTAGAAACCTCTGACAGAACCAGGTTCAGGGAGGGGCGGCCATCTGCAGGGACTGATTGGGCGTGAGAGGAGGGAGGCAGGACAAAAGAAACCAGGAGCCAGAGTTTAAAATGAATTTCTAATGATTAAAACCTACAGTGCTTTATAAACACGTGGAAAGCAAAAATGAGGTCTTGAACGCATTGTAGTAATATGAGTGTTTCTGCCACTCACTAATAAATCTTTGTTTTTCAGTCATTTTCACAAACAACCTCATTTTTTTCATACTTTTTGTGCCTTAATCACCAGTCTGTATTTATTCTGTATTTAGTGGCGAGTCGAGCAAAATATCGTTATCGATATATCGTTGCTGAGGCAACGTGCATTGAACACGACACATGAATCAAACACAACTGGAGAATGTAGCATCGGGTTCACGTGGGGATGATGAAATGAACATATTATTATATAGGAAAATCCAAAAAAGTGGGTTTAATAATCATTAAAAAAAAAGACACATAGATGTTAATAATTGCTGAATGTGTAATGATTGGTCCACGTGTTAAGGAAAAGATGGTCATTTAATTAAAATAGATTAAAAATATTAAAGTAATTTTTATTAATTCCAAATGATGTGGCATGAAGCAAAGAGCAAAAACAACAATATTACTAGTTTGTTATAACACAGCATGAAACTGTCACTGGTGCTGTCGTGTGATGCCATCAACCTTTTAGACAGCCAAACTGCCAAACTGCAAAAACATTAGTTTTCTCTATTACCTAAAGCTACATTTCGTAGACTAATTCTTAATTTCTGGATCCAACCTTTGACCTAGACATAATTGCTTATCTGCAGTCACTGCATTTGCATTTTCAGTCTTGGAAATATGACACACTTATGGAAGGAAGGCGATGTTAGGGGACAGAAACTAAAGACACCTACCCGCACTGTTCATTCTAATTTTCATTAGACTTGATTAAAGGGATTTTTAAATTAAAACAAATTTAAATTAAAATTTGAGAATAGTTGCTTTAAGCCGTTCTACTCTCCAACGATTGATCTGTAACAACAATGGGATTTATTCTTCATAATTGGAAAAATGTAATCAAGTTAATTCCTTTGCTAATTCATTCACACTTGATCTCATATCCATCCCTGCTGTGCATTAAAAGTTCAGGAACTTTAAGTAAGGAATCATATCCTTTTCCAAACTCCCTGTCAGGTCACCGATAATCTAAACTGTTGTCCCGCTTTTTACTTAACTGGTGTTTTAGAGGCGTGTAACTCATTAAAAACCATAACAAAAAAACACAGATAACCAAGTCGCGGGACATGTGGGATGTCAAATACCTCCATGTTATTTATCAATAATAACTTACAGTGACTTCAGTTTTTTGGTTTCTTTTTTTACTCAGTAACTTTTTGACCTCGGAGAAAAGAATGCAGCTAATTGTTGCTCCTAGCAGAGCTATTTAGAAAATGACGGGCCAGAAAGTCAGACCTTGAAAGTTAAAACATTTTGCATGCAATTTTCTGGAGAATTATCAGTGTTGGTTGGTCAGTTAAATTGGTTTGGAGTGGCCAGCATCTTCTACTGTTATTTCCGCTGTCCAATTGAGTTTGGGTAAAACACAGCAGCATGCTTCCCACCGTGTTCCTACACAGATGAAGGCAGGCTGTATTTGCTCTGGATTTTCTTCGGTATTTGTCAAACTGATGTTTGAAAAAAAAAACACAGAGTGGACGTCTAGCTCTGTTTTCTTAATCTCTCTTTTCCCATCCGCCATTAGATGTGAACTGTTTGCTCACCACCAAGAGGTCTCAGTCTTTCTCTCTGAGCCGCTGAGCTCTTAATTGCGTCTGATCGTCGACACTGTCGGGCACACCACTGCTCCACTGGTAATAAGATATAGGGCCAGCCCTTGAGTATTGAAGTCTGTTTTATTAGTCCTCTTTCATGTTATTTTAGTCATGTGAACAAGAATTCACAATGGCAGAGCTTATTAGGAAAGGCAGACTTGCACCCGTGTTATGCGCTGACACTGATTAGCAGAACTCGAGGGAAATCCCGTCTTAGCGTCGTCTAGAAGCAGAATTGATATGGCTCTATTTAAAGTCAACAGGGTAAGGATTTTGCTTTGAAAACCAAAGATATTACAGAAAGATGAGACAAGTACAAAAATGTGAAGTGACATACTGACATTGACTATGCTGACAGGAATGGATAGTTAGCATCTTTACTGTATATTTACCTCTGCAAGGAGGTTAGGTTTTGGCATAGTGTGCGTCCATGACATTCTTTCTTTCTGTAAACACAATACCTCAAAAAATTTGGATGAATTTTGATCAAATTGGTCGGGGTGTAGAGGTCCATTATGCCAACCTTGAAAGACCAAATCCATCAAAAAAATAGCCAGAAAATTCAGATTTATGGGGGGAACTGAGATGTTTATTAACCCTTATAACAAAATCCACAATTTGTTTGCTATATCAAGTTGTGTATAATATATTTTTATTATATATTTATTACATATTTTTTGTATCGCATTTGATACATTGGACATTTTTGGCAACTTTTTGTTAACAACAATGTTAATTTTAGACAAAAAAATTGTTTTGTCCATAACATTTTGATACTTATGTATCAAATATGATACAGGGCATTATAGGGTTAACAGTCCGTTAAAAATTTCCTTACATCCCCCAAGATCTTCAAAGTCAACTTAGTGACTTACAGGTAAAAAATTGACAAAAAGCCTTATGACTTAGAAAACTATGTACATGTATAGGGAATGATATATGGGAATTCTAGATATAATGTTACTTTGGACTAGAGATGGCACGATACCACTTTTTTATGTCCGATACCGATACCAATATCATAAATTTGGATATCGGCCGATACCGATATGAATCCGATATAGTGTGTTTTTTAATAAATAAAACTGTTTTTTTAATATCTTGCTGCTTTTTGTATAAGTTCAAACTCAAGTTTAAAAAAAAATAAAACACTAAAGCTGTTATACCTGTATGCAAAAAATACACTGCAGCCAAAATATTTCATAGTTCAGCAATACTGATCAATCTAATAAACTTAAACCTAGTCTATCCTCCCTATTCTGGTATATTAACCCCTTAGCAGTCCTACAAATTTACAATTAGTCCCCTAAACCATCCAATGTACCGTGGGCGGTACGTCCGACTGCTAACAGGTTAAAGAGTACTTAGCGTAAATATTAAGCAACCTAACTAATAGGGTTCCAAACTCCCAGCAAAAAAAAAAAAATAGGGAACCACCCCCCACCTCATGATGCTTAATTGACGTAATCAACTTTAATTTGATGCAGTGTGAAAATATGCACAGAAATCAATTATTTTTCAAGAATAATTAAAGAGATTCAACATCTTTCTTCAACAGAATTGCAGACTGCACAGATGGTACCTTCCCAAAGGAAAAAGTACTATGGCTTACTAGGGTATATTAGACTTAGTAGTTACTATATACAGTCATGGACTTCTATACATTTTACATCAGATTAGAACTTTGGGTGTAAGATTCAGATAATTAATTATTAAAAGCTAGACATTTTAAATGAGAATAAGAAAGAAAAGTATGTCTTTGTGCCCCCTTTCCCTGTTCATGCCCTATCGGCCCCCCTGGCTAAACTTTGCTAGATCCGCCCCTGCACAGTTACCAGCCGTCACTGTAGAAAAAGATCCTGGTGTAGAAAGTAATATTAAATAAATTCTAACAGCAGCTTATCAAGCTTAAACGTGCTGCTGTTGTTCAGCCGCTGGTTTCCTCTTTCTGGCGCAAAGTGGGCAATAAACAAACAAGAGAGACGGACTCGCGACAGAAAAGCCGATCAGCTGATCATTAATCAGTTTCACGATTAAAGTAGCAGCAGGAGAGGGAGGGAGAGAGGCAGTCGCTCCATATATCGGTTGTTAAGCTTAACGCTAGAATGCTTTACAAACATTCAGAGATGAACTTACACACTTGCTTTACTTCTCTCTGGGATAACTTTCTCGGTAAATGCCGGTTTGGTAGCGAGGTTACAAATACACACAGCTGCTCTATCACGTGATGCATACTGTTCCGACATGTTAAGGTTATGAGCTGAGTTACACCATGTCGCAAGTTTTGTGAGGTGCTTTTTTCATATTTAATGGATCAGATTACATTTTTTATTTCTCTTCAATATCCAATCCAGTAATTTAGGTCAGTATCAGACCGATACCGATACATAATATCGGATCGGTCCATCTCTACTTTGGACCTCTGACCTCTTCTTCAAGGTCAAATAAGGTTAAACCTTTGTAAAATCTAAAATTCTACTGTGTTTGTTTATATTGAAAACATTTAGGGAATGATACTTTTGTATGGGGAATTGAAATATTATCCCACATTGGACCTCTGACCTCACTTTTAAATTTCACATCTGCCTTTCTTTGAAGCCAACCCCAAAATGTGTTATATAATATCATACTGTAGTATGACATTATATAATAAGGTGAGGTTATTCATGTCCTGTTATTTACAAATCAGTAGCTATTATCCACTACCTGTAATGTTACATACAAAATATAAAAGCAAATACTGCTCAGAGGGAACTGCCTCGGCGGAGGAAGATTTGTCACAACTTTCAGAAAGTGAACTTCTGGTGTGGGTTTAAAAACTGTGGGTGGAGGTAGTGATGACAAAAAACATTTATTTATTTATTTATTTTCAGTGTTTTGACCCACACTCAAAAATGTAAAGTCATAGCTGAGCTCTGTTCAAAGCTATCGGAGCTATTTTTTTCTGCACTG